CAATAACATGGAAGGTATTTGTTCTATCAGATTGGGTTCCTTTTCAAAGCAGTGATTCAGAGCAGGTTTCTCTTTCTCATGAGCCGAATCGTCAAAAACCGGCCTTATTTTTGTAGTCATACTGCTCTCTTTGATAACAGGCCTGTGGGGCAGATAATGTCCTAGAAGATGATTAACTTTGTCTGGATTAAACTTCTCGATGATTCCCTATGCTTCCCACTCGGAAAAAATCTGTTCGTATTGATCACACAAACCAGTGGATTTCAATTTTCGAACAACAGACTCCAATCTCTTCTGTGCTACATTATAATTGCTGGAAAGTGGAGGATGGTCTTCCAGCCATGGTAACCTGACCTCGTAGCGCCCTTCCGAATCAATGTGGATTGTCTGAATAAAATGTTCCCTGGCTGCAACGGCGGCTTCTTCTTTGCTACATTTATCCGAGGGCTCCTTAATCCCAAGAGTTTCCAGTTCTCACAGTTGAGCAAGGGACGCGTTTTGCACCAACAAGTTTAACGTCGTCATGGCGGTAGTTGAACGAGTGCCATGGCTGCTTGAAACCTTTCCCATAAGTGTCCAGCGTAGTTGGGTCTCCGTGGCACCCAAACCAGCGTAATTGTTCTCGTCGCCCGGTGTATAACGTACCTATAAGATCAGCCCCTAACAGCAATTCAATTGGACCGGACTGCACATCATCTGATACTTTCATACCCAAAATGTCTAACTCCTTGGTCCAAGGTCCATGAAACACCGGCGGTATGGTTCCACAAATAGTAAACTGGTCCAAGGCTTCAAAAGTATGTGAAAATACACCTCTACAAACAGTAATATCGAAACAGTCATGCGTTACCAACATCTCTGATCTCCCAAAAAGGCAATGTACAACCTTTTCCGCTCTTTTGGGTTGACAGTAAAGCTGTGTGGCAGTATCCGTTAGTATATATGACCGTTGTGAACCAGTATCCACCAGAGCCCTAACTACTTTCGAACCTCTATCTCCTTTTATGGCCACCCGCAGCGTTTGCAAAAATACTTGAGTAGACGTGTGATTAGCTAGCGTATGTTCCTTAAGATGACTACCATTTGGTTCGTCCGACGTGGATGGTTCACCCTGCTTGTCATTTCCACCTTCCTGCTTAGTTGTTGCGGGTAGCTCAAAGCACATTAAAGAAACGTGAGAACGACTACATAACAAACATCTCATCCTGCCCCTACACTGTTTCGACTGGTGACCAATTTTCTGACAACGAAAACAGGCTTTCCGTTTAGCAACCACTTCTTTCCGTTGTTCCAAGCTCATTCTTTGGGCTTTAAAACAGGCTTCGGACAAGTGAGTTCCTGAACAAAACAAACAGCGACTAGTGCGACTACTCTCTGCATTAACAAGACCCAAAGCAGTTGGTTCGTTATGAAATCTGTCTTTTCCCCGCCTTTGTGCAGCATAGTCTCCTCCAGATGACCTCGTACCACCGGCTAAATCAAAACCTTCAGCTGCTAATGCCCCGCTCATTTTCCACCTCTTGTTTGAGGAAAGGCATAAGTCGCTTTAGACGAACTTCCAACGAGGAGTCAGTTGGGTCCTCACCACTAGCAGGGCTATTAAAAATAGCTGAACGTTGCCAGACCCTAAGTAAATCCTGGGGTAAACAAGACTCTATCAATGGATACAACATGGCCGAACATTTGTCAGTTGTTATCCCCAGTGTCTCCAAAGCTCGCAACTGAGTTTCAATTTGATCATACAGATTGCTTATTTCCAACTTTTGTTTATAGGTTGTGTTGGTTAAAATCAACTTTAATTCCCTAACATATACCTCTATTTGAAGGTCCTCCCTGCCGAATCTACTTTGCATGCTTTCTATAATTTTATTATAGTTCTCACTCATAGCGGGATAGCTTTCAACAAGTTGTCGGGCACGACTTCCAGGTAAAGTTGCCTGAATTAAGTATTCAATTTTATTTACGGTTGTCTATACTCTCATCTTGAGGAACCTTTTTAAATTGAGTCCAAAAAGCCAACCAGCCTTTAATGCTACCGTCATAGTGTTTGAACTCAATTCGAGGAAGTCTAAATTTACGCATACCTGTGTGGTTATCTTCGAAACTGACGGTACTTYTTCCATCAGCCCCTCTGTTCTCACTACTTCCAGTTAGGGCGCCTGATTCAAGAAGCTTGTTACATTTCAGCCGCAGTGTAGTGAATTTCTTGGTATAGACATCACAGCTTTCTATATCTATATTTCTATATTCAAGTTCGGCGCTGTCGACGTTTCCAACAACAGGTCATATAGTTCATAGTCAATTTTGCTCAGACAGTCGAATTTTGACTGTAACATTTCGAGGGAAACTTTTATAAAATCTTTGTCCGGATTTTCCGACTGTAACTCCACTTCTAGTTCGTTTGCGGTTCGTGTAAACGCACTCCGGTAGGCGGTACGGCTTTTCTTTGTAACTTCAAGTCCTGTAGCCATGATAAACGTTTTGCAAACCCGATTCAAAATCACTCAAAGTTTCGAGGTTAAAACGACAAAGTTCGAAACCCGGTAAAAGTTTGCAAAACTCAACTACGCTGGTACGGATATTCCACACACTTTTCAGAGTTACACCTGCTTATGCACAGACCGAAAAGTTCCACTATTTCCTTCCAGAAAATTCCTGTCACGGTCGCCAAATGTTGCGTCGTGCACCAAAAGAAACTACCCGTTTCAAAGGGCCGTCGACGGGTTCGTTAAGTAAAACTGCCGAGTCGTCTGTACATAAAACTTTTTTCTGACAATGTCAAAATCTTACTGGTTTTTATTTTTAGGTTTTGTTGTATTCGATTCGCTCTCTTTTGTCTCTCTATTCATCCGTCTCATATACTCGCATCTCTGACAACAGCAAAAAAATCCCGATGAATTCGTTACACTTGAAAATTCGTGCTTGTGATTCGAATCAAACTTCCAAAACTTTACGTTTGGCTTCCGGGGACAGGAGGCCATGGAATCAGATGGAATCCAGCCTCGCAGCAATAGACCCCTGTACAATACAAAATAAACAAAATGAGAAACAGAAGTAGCCCAGATTAAAATGCAATGTCGTTCAAAAGACAACTCACAATTAAAGATTACTGGCTTGGCAAAACTTCCGAAACCGTGTAGCCCAATGGCTGCCTCAAACTCTCAACAGAGCAAAGTTGCTACTCAAGAGACTTGTACAGGTAGCAACACCGGATAGCACCGTCAAAGAAAATAAACCCACTCAACAGACATCTTACAAGGTGGTTTTAAGAGGAATTAACCCCTCAGTGGATCTCGAGGACTTAAAAGTCGAAATCGACCTCAACCTGTCTTTCATACACAGCAAAAAACAAAAATGTCCAAAACTACCTAAAAATGTAAACTGGAAAGGCCGACACCGACTACTCTGAAAAACAAAAAAGCTTCTGACTATGATGACATTGGAGGTAACATGCTTAAATAACTTCCACCCAAAGCAACAAGATTTGTTACTATTATAATTAACTCTTGTCTCCGATTGAGTCAATTTCTTTCAAAATGGAAAGTTGCTGAAGTCGTAATGATACCTAAACCAGGAAAGGATGTAAGCGGGGCAACGTCGTATAGACCCATTAGTATGCCTGTAATGTCAAAACTATGCGAAAAAGTTATTCAAAAGTAACTAAATAAAATAATAGATTCCAAGCACCTTATTCCAGATCACCAATTTGTGTTCGGACCACAACACTCTATAATTGAATAAGTTCAAAGGACCACTACCGCTATCAGGAGGGAGTCTTTGGAAAGGATAGACTACTGCGAGGCAGTCTTTCTTGACGTTGCATAGGCTGTTGACAAAGTGTGGCACGAAGGCCTAATGTCTAAATTTAAAAAGAACTTAGTAATCCTGATCCACTTGGATTAAAATGAGCTTTTGGTTTGACCACAAAAAAGACATATTCGAACTACATAAAAAATATTTTGCTGTAATGTTCACGACCTAAAATTCAAAAATATTGGATCGGATCTAGATATATAAAAAACCACGTCTCACGTCCTTGAACCATTCAACGACCATTAAAAATCAACTTAAATAAATGAAAAGAACCGATTCCCTGAAATACCGAGATTTCTTCCAAACGGAAATCTTTTGAAGCTTGATTGAATTTACAAGATGCAAATTCACACTTCTTTCTTGCACGCCGAACAATCAACCTGTTCTCATTTCAATTCACGATTCACAAAAGTGCAACCGGTTCTTCGAAAAGCGTCCATTTTTATGGTGCGAAAGACATTAACAACATATGAAAACAGCTCACAACGCATCTATTGTGTTTTAATGATGCATTAGAAGGCTTTGTAAATAAAGGTTTATTCGTGTCATCTGAATCAGTTTTCGGAATTGCATGTCCAGTTTCAAGCAAAAGCATGTCCGTTTAAGTTGAGAAAAGTCTGCTTCACAAGTACGTGTGGTATGCCATTTATGTAGTGCCGCTTCGAAATAAAGTTCAATTTGTAATGCGATTGCCAAAAATCAAGCAAGTACCATATCAAATAAAAACTGTAATTAGTGAATTGTGTAAGCGATCGATGCCAATACGATTTCTCATAAAATTTGGGATTATTAAGGTAACACTAGGCATAAGTCATAAATCATTACAAAGCACCAATATTTAATGAATACCGATTTGGAACGAATGTCGAGCAACGAAGAAAGTATAATAGTATAATTGATAGAATCGAACGTCAATTAATGGTTGAAACAGTGGAATTATATGTTACAAACGTTCAGGTTATTAGCATTGCACCATCGAAATTGAAAATATTTCCAGTTTCCTCAATGTGACTTGGACATAATTATTTATTAATGGCAGCCAATATGGACTTTTGAGAACTCATGAAAATGTATCAATAATTGAATGATTATGCTGGGAAGAATCAGTTCTCAATGTAGTGAATGAAAACCCGACAACAAATATCAGAAACGAACGAAACGAAACATGAATTATTTAGGAATCTTCTCTACATATAATGTAATAAGTTCAACAATGGAGACAATTTGGCTCGTCCTGTTTTTAGCCCATAATTTATTCGAAAACAATTTCACTGTTCATAACCTGCATGGCTAGTAAGAGAAAAATCCAAATACACATCATTTAACCAGATATTATTAGAAACAAAATGATACATTAGATTCAATTATTCTACCTTGTAGGCTAATTAATGTTCCATATTCAAGTTTTCTGATCATACGATTACTTGAACGTTGATTACGAGAAGTAAAATAAAGTAGATAGAATGTGGTGCTTAAGTTTAAATTCAACGAAATTCGGCTAGTAACAAAAGTATCAACAGGTATCTATAAACATATAAAAGAGTTATGACTCCATAGCAGCAACTATCATCTTCAAAGATCGTCAGATCAAAATGATGATTCTGGAGCTGAAGAAACGAAATTGAAACTTTTTAGTAAGAAGCTCATGTTTTCGAAACATACTGTATAATCCGGTTGTTAATTGCAGTAAACAGTGTCTGGCCAAAATAAATCAATATTTATTTGCCTATATAACTTTGAACATAGAATCTTAGGTATTTATATAAATTTATCGGTTTTAAAATGTTTGCAGTTTAAATATTGAACGATACTCAATCGAAACAGCTCAAAAAGATAACAGTAAATTCTCAGATGGATACCATAAATATTCAAATAAAAATCAAAAATTAATTTGAAATGGCAACTAACGTTTCATAATAACTTTACCGAAAATACTTGAATACCGCACTGAAAATTGGGGGAGTTGTGTTACGGGTCTTATTGATATTGGTTGGATGCAGAAAAGGAAAGCCATTATTAAAGAGGCGGGGCCTCACTACAACAGTCAAGGGCAAGAGAGTTTTTATTTTTCTTTTATAGAGGATGGCTATTATTACAGGGTCGTAACAAGTAGGATTCTACATTTTACGTACGAGAAAAAGTAGAGATAATTTGCAAAACATAATATTTAGTGAAAGATGTTTGTTGTTTGGTTTAATCAGTCAATTACGACAAGCAAGAGGCCAAGGGACAAGGGAAAAGTATATATTTAGTCGAATAACATAAAAAATACTATTAAGCCTCATGAGCCTTCAATAGGACTTAAATATCGACGTTACTTTGGATCCAAAACAATATTTTGGCCGCTATCTATTGATCGATTAACTCAAACGCATCAACAAACACTTTTCAACAAAACACTTGCAATAATACATTTAGAATAATATACACCATAGGTTCTGCGAGACAGAAATGTTTTATCTTTTATCTGACACAAATTGATCAAAAAAGCCAAATACTCAACCAAAAATTGAAATTCCTTCTCAAGCAAGTTTTCATTGAACGCTTGGGATTTTCAACTACCAAGCTATCTGTAAACGCATAAAAACAGTTGTTCATGGTGTCTACTTCATTCATGGCTAGTTACTACTGATTTAAGGTTTTCTTCTTTCGGTGCAACGTTTCCGTATTTCTTCTGTAAATAATAACATTGTTGGCTTTTCCTTAAATAAAGTTCTATATCATCATAAATTAACTTGGACCTTGATACCCAATTAAATAGCCATCTAGATAACAACCCCCTATAAATGCCGCTGCCCAGCAGACAGGATTTAGAATTAATTTTCATTGATAAGCAGGTTGTTGTTCTTAACATATTATCGATACTCATTTTCTATTTCTGAATTAATTAAAATTGTTTTGAAAAGTTGATCTATTAGCGTGTATTTTAATACTTTATTGACTATCTGAAGACCTGAAAGAAGGAACAAGAAGTTTGTGCCTAGTACCTGACATGAAGCTACTATCTGAGTAAGTTACCTATTCGCTTGGTAATTAGGAAAATCTGAATTTCTTTTTCATTATTTTTCATTGGTCACAATATTCGAATGTTGCGTATTCCTTTTCTTAATAAGGCTCGTATGCACAATAATATTGATCACCTTCTGCTTGAATTCAGTCTCATTACATTGTCTTACAACAGTAAATCAATCAATCAATCTCGAACTGAAAAGGTAAAAGAAACGGCTCCTCCAGTTATTACCGACGAACAATTGATCTCTTTCAGAACAGTTCGGCCAAACAAAATCGAAGACACATTGTTTAATAAATTGCAAAACGAAAGTCAAAATGGTAATAGACATTACAGATATTTTCATATGCGCATTAACAACAACAAAAACAAAATTCAATGCTCTTATAAAACATGTACAACTTATATATAGTAACCCACAGAAAGTGGCTATGTTAAAAAAAATTAACCATACGGAAGCTTTTTAGGAAGATACTGTGCACTATTCCAATCCCCATACCTTACATGAATGCTTGAACTCTCTGAACGTGATTCAAATCTCGTTTCGCTCACAAAATCGATCATTTGCTTAAAGTAACCAAAACACAAACAATTTTCAAAGAAATCCTCCTCTAACATACATAATACAACATAATTACATATAACAACGAAATCAATAACGAGTCACAGCAGTAAACAGAAAGTTCTTCCTCCTGTTCCTGAAAGTTCCTTTTATAACAGAATATCTACTAAATTTATATAAAATCGAGAAACATATTAAAACTACTGCAAACTCTCTACCAGCAACTCTCCGATTGAAATATTACATTCCACTCTTATAGAAACATTTCGAATTTTACAAATACAAAATCATAATGAACGAATTGATAATTTAATGACAACTGCAATCACTATCTATTACTAAAGTATCCATTCCACAACTAATTTTACACCGTTTACCTTTTTATATGGTCCATAGGAAAAGGAAGTACTATTTGATAATGACTTCATCGTATACGAAATAGAAGAAACAAATTACAACCCTTTCTAGAGTAGATAACGCTCATAAAAATATTCAGAAGAAAATGACCCAAAACTTAACAAAGGTAAATCAAAACAGACAAAAATAAATTGGTGAAATCACTCTCGAAAGAACTATATTTAGAAATAAGCAACAAATAAAAATGTCCTTTATGAAAATATTCAGATTATTGAAGAAAACGAAACTCAGATTACCGGTTTGATTCCTCCCAATGGAAAAGTAACTATAGACATTAAAAACATAAAAAGAATTAGGAAACAATAAAGTTTTCATTTTCATACTTTTCAACGTTAGTCAACATAAACTCAAATCGATTGCTTCAATAATCCTCTTCCAGATTCCCAGATTCCACTAAAACAAAACAGGAATACAAGCTGAAATATTTAAAATTTTTGCTTTCTGTTAACTTAACGCGCATTAAAAATGTATTAAATAAATTATTCCGATTTTACAGAACCAAGTTTTAAGTACCTATAGGTAAAATATATTTGAAGGATATAAAATATATAAAAATATATAATAAAAAGTCAATTTTCGACCCTTAACTATAACCGAAATAAACGTGGTCTTATAAATGGACTTGGGACAATGTTTAAATTCATCACTGACAAAGAAGATTTAAATATAATTAAATCAATCTAGTATAAACATTAACAACAGCTCGATGAGAAAACAATTACCATTGCTCGAAACCCTGAAAAACCATTGCGCCAAACCGTTCAAGAGTTTAATCATAATGTTGACCATCTAAGATATACTATCGAACAAACACTGAGACAATACTAACAAATACTAAGACTTCAATTATTCACTATCAAATACTAAATAATCAATTAGAGTTAATCTTAGATTCCATTAGGAAACTTGTTGCAGAGTGACATTGCATGAGTTGCCTTGGGCTTATCAAGCGCCTTTACTATTACTGTAATGCTGTTAGATATGCCTACTGAAAAGCCAGCCACCCTGCATCTACCTAAATTTGTGGTAAGTTCAATGCCAATTTGTAGTCTATTCTGCACCTCTGTTACTTTAACAACACACACAAGGTTGTTTTAACGTAAAGTAAACTAGCATTTCAATCCAGGCAATTTTCAGGAAAAAGACTATATAATCAGTTGAAAGAAAGTCACCGTTACTGGTGGCCAGTCTCATAATTGGTATGTTGAGCTTGTTGATGAGCTACTACATCAAACCAATTCGACCGAAACCTTTTAACAGCTTTCATAAGAATTGAAAATGCCTCTAAGAAGACATCAACACTTACTTAGACTGGCCAGACACATTTTTACGTCCAGCAGCTTTAATAGGATTATTAATATAAAAGGTAATGGAATTTCAGTTCTTAATCTGATTGATAATATCAATTGAACCCGCAGGCAACGATGAATTTCTATCAAAAGTTATGAACTCAGAAAACCCGGTGATAGTAAACTTTCATGCCGAATGGTGCGAGCCGTGCCACATATTAACGCCGAAAATGAAAGAACTGATAGAACCAATGAGTGATATCGATTTGGCAATAATTGATGTGGAAAATAACGCGGAATTAGTGCATACATTTGAAGTTAAGGCAGTACCGGCCGTGATAGCAGTACGAAATGGACTGGTAGTTGATAAGTTTATTGGATTAGTTGATGCCACTATGATTGAAAACTTAATTAGAAAACTTGGACAAAAATTATAGTGGATTTGTATGATTTAACGCGAATGTTATGGAGTGGTTTTTAGTGTCATTGTTCAACAGGGTTTTTTGCAGTTGGCAATTCCAAGGAATGTATAAATAAATGTATTTACAGTTCTCTTTTAGTAACGTATAAGAAGACGAATATCCTAATATAACAAACAATGATTAAGTAAGACTTAATTCAAAAATTCTTGCTGAAGTCCTTATCGGAGATATTGGCAAATTCTTCAGTTTGATGTAGTGCCCGTGTACAAAACACTGATCTCAATGCGATAAAGAACAGTTGCATCAGCACGTTTACCTGAACTTTCTCTATAAAGTGAAACAGAATTCACTTTTAGTTTTCAGAATTTTTTCGACTTTCTTATATCGAGTAAAACGTTGCTCATACTTTTCGCATAATTCAAAGTTATTCAATTCCATTTGAAATAGCACTTTTTGGATGATGAAACTTCCTCCATTCGAAAAATCAAAACGCACTTAAAACATTTAAAAATTGACACTGTATTATTTATGAAGAATTTTGATTGGTCCCCACAAGAATAACAAACACTAATGGTTTGTTATTGAAAAATGTCCATACCGTGAACAGGGATTCAATAGGGAGGATTTACAATGATACTACAGCCTTCATCTTGAATATCCGTGAACCCATTAAAAATGTTAACGATTTCAGATGACATCGGTATCAACGCAAATAATAGTTTATTGCTTTTTTATGTCTGTCCGATACGAGAATGTATATTGTGCCTTGTTGACGGTCGTAAATTAAGCAAAAAATAACCCATTGTCGAAGCGAGGGTATGGGTATGTGAGAAACCTTCTTATCCTTGAATTTGTATTCACAGATTAGATATATTCCTATTGAAATCAAAATTGTGGACATGGAATTTCCCGCCGAACTTTTATCAAGGTCTACTAGAAGCATTCGCATGTATTTCATCAAAACTCGGAAATAAATATTTCAACATATCAACTCTGCAGATTTAAAAAATGTGGAATGCGTTCTCTGGAATATCGTGTAATTCAAGTACAAGAGTTTTTGCCGAGTGCAAAAATTTGCCGATTTTTGTTCAGTTAAAATGAGTTTCAGAAGACGTCTAAACTCATTCATTGATACGTAGGCATATATTTAAGTTTAGATCGGTCCACATAGAGGACGAATTAAATTTTACTCATTAGAAGTGTTATTAAAAGTTATGCATTATAATGATTGATTATAATCTAGTTAATACTACAAATGAAATAGCTGGCTGGCAAATAATATTACAAGGACCAAGTGAAGTTATTAAAATTGAAAACAAATTTGTTGTTTGTTAGTAAACAATGCGTGGACCAGCACAGGTTTTTTGCTGTCACAAGCAAGCGCTATTTTTAAGCCTCTTAATGAGGATTGTGATGTCGTTTTATCTTTATTTAACTTTTACTTGCATATTGTACGTGCATTATTCAATATATTTATACGAATGAAAKAAATTAATAGAAACTACAACAATTCCTCACCTGGGTGTTTCATTCATACCCTTTTGAAGGGCAGGCTTTTGGATGTGCCATTTTTAAGCTAAACCSGCAAAATAATGACTAATAATCTGAAATAATTTTGACTGTATTTTGGAAAAAAGTGAGTAAAAGCTTGAACAATTTCTAGTACTAATTTTTGTGGATTTTAATATATTTTACTAAGTGCCTACTCAACTAATGCAAAAATATTTGTCTCAGTGAATAAAACAAATTTAACTCTGGTTCATATTTGTTTGTCATTTCAGCATTTCAATTATCTATTTGATTGCTATTTGTTGCTATTTATGCAATTATAGTGACCTGGCAATTGCTTATGAATTTGCAATATGAGATTTATCAGAATCGTTTAAAACGTGATTGTTTTTGTATGAGCACTTTCGGAAGGCCTGTGACTAGACCTCCATAAAAAAATCCACATACCAAAAGAAGACACGGACCCATTGTTCAATATTTTCCTAAAACATGTATGTCTAAAATATTAAAATTTATTCTCTATGCACCCCATCGTCTTCCTATCGCTACGCAACACCCTGAATTGTAAACCATCTGCACTATAGTGTGACCTCGGCGCCATTTCCTTTCACAGGTCACATTTGGACCCTCTTTTAATCTACCCTAACCGCAGGGTGAAATGTGCACTTCTATAAAAGCGGCCATTTCCGTTCTATCTTTGCTTTTATTCCCTTGTATCTTTCCTGGACCAATGAGCTTCGTCCGCTGAGTGTTAAATTTTATTGCCAAGTACACATGGTGCGGTATTAAATTTTTAAGGCGACGTTCTCCAGAGATATTGCGTAGACTGCGGTTTAATACCAAATTACTTTTGGATATTAATGGCCTTTCGTTTATAAGACAAGGGAATGGGTCGTAAATTTTGGAAAAACCCTAGATGTGACAGCTTAGCTTAATTTTTCACTAAATATTCAAGACTAAAGCTGGGAGAAGAGAAATGTTTAATAACATTTTCCTAATTTCGAAGACGCATTTAGCATAGAGGATATGACAAAACAATAACACTTTTAGAATACACATGTTTTTTTTTTGTATTTCTCAAGTACTAAACAGATATTGTATCTGATCCATATCAGTTATCAAGTGTCAGGTACATCAGCGTTAGTGTTATTAATTTGATTTCACATAAAGTACAAAATTTACAAAGCAACATGTTTGCTGTCCTTAAACGATTTGTTATTATTGTTTCTTGTACTCTACCAGCAACTCAAGGCAAGTAGATCCGTAACCTTAACCACCCGCTTAAAAAATGCAAACCTCAAAATAGGAAACAAAAGAGAAAATATAACTCCAAATTATCACGTTGCAAATAAGATGATCTTCAGCAAAAATGTTAATTTTGTTAAATTAATTTTAGGACGAGTAGGATTTGGTCCCAATGAACAAGATTGGGGATATGTTACGGTCAGAGAAAAAGCCCACATGTTTTGGTGGCTGCATTATACTACAGCAACTGAAGATTATGTTCAAAGACCGTTAGTTATTTGGCTGCAAGGTTAGTTTACACATGCTGTTAAAATACCTGGTTTTTCCGTAGTCGTTAGTAGATAGTAGTAGTAGATAAGATGTACTATTCTCATTTTTGTTCTGTGCCGCTGTCTAACTTAACAATTAACAATGCATATCATACAATTATTATTAAATCAAATTTAGTTCCAGTGAGTCACATTCGGGGAGTCACACACATCTTTCGACTTGGATATAATTGGACATAAAATTTAATCTGCAGTAACCATATATATTTAATAATATTTCAAGGCATTAGGTACTTGTATTACGCATTACTTGCAGTACCTACTATTCCTCCGTAATGATTTTATACGCAAAAAGGTTATCTTTTCAATTTAGAAATTATCAGCTGGAGTCTGTACTAATTAATTTTAAATGACCGGCCAATATTGCAACTAGTCAAGGTGAATAAAAGCTAATCTGGTAATAGACAATGAGCGAAATATCCCAAGAATGGGCGATGAAAAGCAATTGAACTCAACGAAAACCTATAAAGTGCGAAGAGTGGTGTATACCTATGGTTTAATAAGTCGAAAACCTATTGAAAATCAACGCTGATTCAAATTGTCTCATCTGAAAAAGAAATACAATACATTTATTTTTCACCAATGGCAAGACTCACGTTAGACTATTTTGCAAACGAGTAAGAAAAACCAAAAGATATATATTTTGTATCATACCCAAAAGAAGTAAAGAAGCCAAAATCGCAACTTATGTGTCATTATGTATTATGCTGATTTAATAAAGAAACAAAGAAAACTTTATTATTGAAATAACCAAGTTTTGCTGTTTTGTCGACTTAGTTTTTCAGCTGATACGCGATTTCGGTACCTATGATACCATTTTCGGAGGAAGATTAAAACCTTGCGATTGTTTCTTCAATATCTTTCTCCTGTGTGTTTGCCTCAAAAGTTTAGTCTGTTAAAATCAAGTATTTTTTTAACGTCATCTGTTACAGATTGTTAGATGTTGTTACCCACTCATTTGAAATTATTTGAAATCCCCGGAAAAAATGGTATAAATAAGTGAAGACAAAAGAAATAACTTCAGGAGAAAACAATTATCAATTTGTCTAATAAACAAATAACTGATGCCGAAAAACATACCGGTGAACACACCCGTTATCGTGAATTATAGTTTCAATAACCAAAAAACTAATAAACTTTTAAATATGGACAGCTGTTCAAAATTTTATAAAAATCCAACAGAACGTTGGTAGTAAAACAGCACCGTTTTACAGAGTTTCAAAAATTCATAAAAATATTCCTTTACGACCAATAGTTAGTAGTTCCTAAATTCACCTACACACCTTTTAACCAAATATCTAGTAAACATTCAAAATCATCTAATAAGAAAATCGACTTACCATATAAAAAAATCAGCACTTTTTTTAGAAAAAATAGCAGAGATAGGTATAATTCGAAGCCATATTTTGGTAAGTTTTGATTCACTAACGTCTCTGTTAACTCACCTTTGTGTATAATGAAACGAAAATTACGTCAATCTTAAAGAACGCACACAATTAAGTATTAATACTATTATTCAACTTTTAACAATATCTGCAAAGTAAATTTATTTGCAATCGAATGATTATGGTAAAAAGTTTACATAATAGAAAAAAAAAAATTGTAATGAATCTAATTAAAAAAAAGACAATGCGCAAGCGAAGTTTTAAATTTCACTAATTATATAAATTCCTTTATTGTCAAATGTTTTAATGAAAATGAACATCTAAAATTTAAACAATATCCAACTAATCCCATTCCAAACTTTTTCATTCCATTTATTACCGGGATCCCAAATAAAATTAAGTAGGTAACAAATTAAATATCAGAACTATCTTGAAAACTGAAAAAAAAAACGAATAGAAGCAGCATTTTTAAATAAAATAATTAAAGGACACCAATCATACATAAAAAAAAATTGTCAAATTTTGCAACAACAACAAACTTAACACCAACTTGACAACTAACTCAAACCAACCCAAACTTGACAACTGAGAACCCACTTGATTTCTGCAATAATCGATTTCCAAATGCTTTAAAAACAACGAGAGTTGATTATCAAAACTTGACAATTTTCATAGCACTCTAAAACTAACAGTTCCCCAGTGATTCCGTGGTACATGAAAAAAATATTTTGTTCGTTATCATTCCGAAAAGTTAAAATTGAATAGGTAGTGTAGGTTAAAATCTCAATAGTAGTAGATATTTCTTGTGTACAAATTCCAGCCGTGCCTATGCAAATTTCTGAAAATCGACAGTGCTAAGTAAACAAGAGCAACAGGGTCCCAGAATAAATATCGCTTTAAGCTGGGCCTCTGATCAAAAACGAAATGATAAATTGCCAAAAGGCAGGGACAAATTTGCGTATCTAATTTAAATTTTTATTCGCATTTATGCACTCTATTCACGCCACGCAGCACATGAGATTTTACTATTAACATTTTACTATTAACATATAACAAGAAAATATTTAATTTCCAATTCCTTTTTCCTCTAATGCTGGAGGAAAATCAAAATAGTTTTGAAATATGCGTCCCATCCATCAGCAGATGCAAAAATATATTGGACTAAACGACTATACCAAAGACAATAACACAGTTGTTTTGACAGGAGGACCAGGAGGATCTTCTACGGGCATCGGCAACTTCCAGGAAATTGGGCCATGGGATGAAGCTCAAAACATAAGGAATTACAGCTGGATAAATTACTTGAACGTTCTATTCGTTGACAATCCTGTAGGAACTGGGTACGAGTTAGAGATTTTACAAGCAAAAAAACACCCACTCTCACAGAAATAACGGCAATATCAAATATGAATTTTATCGCATTGACCAGAAACAAGTGGCCCATTTCTACGTGAAAAAGTTCTCGTAGATTTCTGCTCTTTATATTCAGTCAATCCAGAATACCTGGATTAAGCTGTCGCCAGCATACTTCAGAAGTACTAAATTGATCACTATCGTGCATTACTACAACAATCTGATACTGACTGGATATTGAGTAAATGCCTCGTTGAAGTATAAAATTAATGTAATTGTTTTGACTACTCACAAATGCACTAGTACACAATCGGAAATTCCCTTTGATAAATGAACCGTGATAACTTGAGCGATGTGGTCATGTTTTTAAAAATCTACTGTGTACTTTCATCATACAAGTTACAAGTCATTATCCACATGTTGCAACGCACCATGAGATTATTACGATTTGCAGATATAGTTTCGTAGAAGATGTGAATGACTCATCTCTTTTTGCTGGTGACAACGAAGCAATTAGTGATGACTTTTTAGTTTTTCTCAAAGGATTCTTTACCCAAAAACCAGAATTTGAAGCAGTTCCCCTCTACATATATGGACAGTCCTATGGTGGAAAAATGACTGTGGATATTGCACTCAAGCTTCACCAAGTAAGTAAAATACCTAGCAAAACTAACGACCATTTTCTATATTCCATATTCTGCTATTTAGACTCAACCACTTGACTATAAAACTGAAATTAATCGTAGTTTCACACGATAATACTAGAAAATTAATCTCTTCAACGAATTTTAGGAATTTATGGCTGCAAGAATTAATTGCAATTTTAAAGGAATCGGTCTCGGCGATGCATGGGTTTCGCCGATAAGCTCACTCACTAGCTGGCCACCATATTTGTTGAACTTGGTAAATACAGTCATTGAAGTCCAGTAATCACACATTGGAAAAATAATAACTTTAAAATAGGGCTTTATCGATCCTGAAAATTACGAGTTATTAAAGATAGTGACCGATGTGGCGGAAACAGAGATTGATAAAAACGAGTTTCAACTAGCAAGTGCATACTTTCAAGCTACCCAGGTAGTTATCAATGGGATGACTAGTGTCAACTATTACAATGTTTTGAAGCCTGTGGAAGCCAAAAATGTAAAGCAAAATCAAAGTGAGTTTTTCACCTTTAAAACGAGTCAACTACAATATGTTTTGATTGTAAGTTTAATCAAGCAACAAGACGCATTTCAGTCGTAAGGCCATACCTATACTATCAAATTGATTGAAAAACTCCTTTATAAACTCCTCCATTGAAGTGATCATCAATCATATTTAGATTCATGGCTTAGAAATACAACAATGGCCGGGCAGATTATTAGAGATATCCTGCACATCGAAATAAACGACGTCAACTTACAAGGTACATTCACTTTGGTCAAATCTGAATACGTTGAGAAAACTGACAAATCTTCTCGTAATTAGACGACTTAACAAGGGAAGACGTTGATGGAAACCTTTCTGAGCTGATGAACGGACCAGTCCGAAAGTCTTTAGAACTGAAAGATATACCCATACAATGGGGCGAGCAAAGTGAAGCAGTATTTCAAGCCGTCAAAATGGACTTCATGAAGCCAGTAACTGAGAGTGTAGAACGACTTTTAAATGAAACAGCACTGGAAATTACAGTCTACAATGGCCAGTTGGATTTAATTGCAAGTACACCAGGTATACTTCTTCTATCAACAAAACTTCACATATCAACAATAAGGCTGTCTTATTAATAAACATTTTTAAATGGCATTTCTCGCTAAATACACTCGATACTAAAAATCGTGAACGTGTTCACATTCCAGTCCAGACTGGCCAAGATCTGAAGCAGCATACGCTCCGACATTTCTGTGATGCGATAGAAAAAGACGGATAACTGATGGGACGCTGCGATGATACTTCACTTTACTCCGTAGCTCTAAAGCCACTGGAAGGCCTTGGCTGAGGCAACAATTTAAATCCCTATGCTTCGGTCTTCCATAACTTCTAAACCATTATCGATGCACATTTTTCGGAGATCCGATGCTATATTATCACGCCACCTTAATCTCTGCCATCCAAGTGGTCATCTTCCTTCTGGTGCTACGTCCCATTTTAAGCGGACCATTCTATCCTCTGGCTGCCTTGTCCATCTCAACTTTTGTACCTTTATGAGGTTTCTGGCTGGTTGTATATTTGTTTTAGTTCTGCATTTGTTTTGATTCGGTGTTTGATTGTTTTGGTTGGTGCGAAAATGTTTCCAAGAACTTTCCTCTTGTATCTTCGAATGAGTTCATCATTTTGCATCGTCAGGGTCCAGGTTTCGCAGCCGTACATTACCACGGGTCTCATCATGGTCTGATGTGTTTTGATTTTTGTTCTCCTAGTCACGTATTTCGACTCTAGTATATCCTTTAGAGCGTATAAGTACCTGTCGGCTGAGTCTAGGCGTTCTCTGATTTCTTCACTCATGTCGTTGTCGGATGTGATTGTGGACCCTAAGTATTTAAATTGTTTTACATTTTCAAAGTTGTATGTGTCCATTGTCACATTTTGTACTATCCTAGCTCTGCCTCGTCTTGAAACTATATGTATTTTGTTTCGGCCTAGTTGACTATAAGCCCCATATATGCCGGTTTATTTTCGATTTTGTAAAACAGTTTTTTTACTTTTATGACGCTTATGTTCACCGTATCTATATCGTTGGCATATGCTAGCAGAAAGATGGATCCACTGGCCCCGAATAGCTGAGTTTCAATAGGTGCTCTCAGAGTGCAGAAGACATTTTTAAGAGCCATGTTGGAGATCACCCACCCAGAATGTGTTTCTCAGCAGGATATCCTGACTCTTCCGTCTCTTTATTATATTGGGTTGGTTATGTTAACATTTTTCGCACTACTATTTAAGCTTGATTTATAGCTTGTTCACTAAATAATTAACTAGGGTGTGCCGCGCTGCTTTATATAGCCGTTTTGCAACACTCGAATATTCTGGTTCAATTATAGAACGTTCCCTATTCCAACTCCGTCCAATTACAGTTCTTCAGACAACGAAGTTATAATAAATCTTCAGAGTTTAGTTGCTGGTTTTTCGATCCACGGTCTCACCTACCAACGTCTTTTTCTTGGCAAACGAAATGCAGATGTTGCACTAATTGCCAATAACAATGTAGTGCGAAAAATTAATTCTTTTTTTTTCGTTTTCATTTTTTCAATTTAAAAGCAGATCATACAGGGCGATTCAAAATTGGAAGCTTCCTTAGGGAGTACCAGAAAAATATTTCGAAAGTTTCAAAAAAATATTAACAGTTGAAATTTTCAACTTTGTTATTACGTATTATTCTGAGAAGGATGATATTTACGGAATGTTAAAGAGGCAGACTACCTTGAAAAACATTGCTGCCATCCTCCTGATCTCGTTTTTTGCAAATATCTCAGTTATTAATAACAATTAAGTTTTTTTACTATATTTTCTGTACTCCCAAAACAGTGGTTTTGAAATGTTTTATTGATGTATACATTTACAAAATTATAAAATGTTATTAAGTTATAATTAAAGTGAATTCCGACTTTAGAGTCGTGACGATGAAATATAAAATATTGTAATGAATTCACCACTGACATATATCAAATTAACGATGCTTCATCGGCTTATATTTAACCAAATCTTGCAGGAACCATAAGTTGGATAAACAAATTGCAATGGAGTGGAGCTGATGGATATAAACAGTCAGCTCGTCTTCCTATAATTGTGAAAGGCGTAAATGAGGGATATTATAAAAGCTACAAAAATTTTCGCTTTTTTTGGATCAATAGAGCTGGACACGCTGTGAGTAATTGCTTCTTGCTGTGAACCCAACATTACATACCATTGGAATGTAGGCTATTAACGTTATTATATTATACTAACCATCAACAGGTACCAACAGATAACCCGCATACGATGGACCACATTTTGAGAGGGACTGTTGATGTTACATAAATAAATGGATCTGATTAGATAATAGTTGACTAGTTATGGGTAATCTTAATTATACATTATATTCATCTATTTATTATCAATAGACTGTCACATTAAAAGAATTAATCACTTTTGCAATAATTACATTCTCTTAAGAAAGTTCGCATAGTTTGAAATCAAATACGTTCCCCCAATTGATTCGCATTTTTTCCGATTCGCCCGAATTTCTCTTCTCTGGAGTCTGACAAAAGGACTTATCGAACGCATGGCATCAAAAACGGGCCTTCGCGTAAATCGGCGGATATCGAAAACCTGCAAACTGTGCTGTTCCCCTAATAGGACCGATCGCATAACTATGGAGTCGCCAACCGGAGACAATCGATTACGATTAATAGATATAGGAGAGGTGTTTCGTAATTTAGGTGTGATAAACGGTTATTTTTCTGTAACTTCTTCTAAGGTTACAACGTTCCAGATTTACCTTGGTAATAGGTTTCAAAATGCTGTTCCAAAGGGAACATGTTACTTTTGAAATTTTTCATTAAAAATGCACAATGATGATGATAGTAGAAATAGTGATGATATATAATGACTTCCTTTATTAAAAACATAATTCTTAACAAAAGAGATAGACTTTTGAGGCCATTCCTTGAAACTAATGGGTTTTTCGGGTTTTAAGGCCGTCATTCGGTAGAATTTCTTCCTGACGTCATCACAAACCACGTCATCGCAACCAGTGCATAAATACGGACTGTGCCCAAGGAATCGTATTGGAACAGTGTCCAAGCAAACCACTTCTGAAGATGCAAGCCACACGTGCTTGCGAAACGCCAGGAAGAAATTCTCCCGAACGACGGCCTAAAAACCCGAAAACCCCATTAATTTCAATGAAAATTATTATTTACCCTCCTGCAACTGAAATAGAATTACGTTTCTGTGTTCTGATAATGAACGTGATCAACTTTTGCGCCGTGTTACTATATATTAATGTGCCGACAAAGGATCGGCACTTCTTTAAGTTAGCACCTGAAATCGTGTGAAAAATCAGAGTCCTGACGCCGTCAAAGGAAAAAACCGCCATCCATTGCGGCTAATTGCCACAAATAATATGAGCTATCGATTTTCCTGCTAGGAAAATACATATTAACGGTGAAAACCGTTATTAAGTTGAGAAAATCAACCAATAAGGTATCACAAAATTACTGGTAATTTTCCTATATAAACGATAAACTGTATGTAATTTGCATTAAATTCTGGTGTAGTTGCCAACATACTCTGTGATCTGTGTGGCCACGTGCGTTTAATATTCAAGGCAACATAAAAGGCAATGGGAGCAAGAAACTCTATTTCGAGGAGAGACTAATACCAAGATTATTAATTTTGAATATAAACTACCGTCGTTCGGGGTGAAAAACAAGTATAATTTTGAAAAGAAAATTTTCAATAACCCTAATTATTTGAAATATTGATTTATTATATACCCCCTAATTATTTGAGATATATCTGGAGTAAAGGCGGACGACTCTTTATAAAGCGTTAAAAATCGTCTTAGCACCTAGTACGAGGCCTATTCTTATTCTTATTAAGTTTCTCTTCTTCGTGTGAAATTAGGCATTGTCCGCTATGTTTGCTCGTTTTTATTCCTTTTTTCTTATCGTGTAAGGTAGATTTTCGAATTTTATTATTTTCAGCAGCAGTCTTAAACTTTGTCTGCCTAATCGAATATCTTCGAGTGCCCTAGCGACGTTTTCTTCATTATAGTTCTTAAAATTAAAACCGATTTTTTTATACTGTCTAATCATGGTGTTCGTCTTCACCTCGATAAAATAGCTTTTTGGTAAAACACAATTATTTATGACAAAAACCAATATTTTCTAATGAAATTGCCATGGGGTGTACCAATAATAGAGCACATCAGAAAAAATAACTCTTTGATTTTTTTGGTTTCAGTCTTCTGTTGTGTGTAAAATGTGATAAATCATTATCTCTTTAGACTTGGTTTAAAAAAGTTTTCTTAGACATTAAAGTCTAAGGACATATGCGTAATTTTTATAAGGAGGTGTATTTTTGACAGTATTGTATTACAAAATGTGTATTAGAAAATGTGTATTACAAAATACCGGAACTACCGCAGATATTTTTTTCTTAACCGTCCGCACCAGTCCTGGCTGATTGCGCTTGCGCGAATCACTGCCGCGTTGCCGGTTTGATACTTCCATTGCGAACAAAGTTATAAACACAGAAAACCACGGTTTCTTGTGGATTCTAGCACCTTTTTAGTTCAGTGGCTTTTGCTGAAATTCATGCTTATTTCATCGCAGTAAAGATTTGGACTCTTGGAGTTTTAATAGTCATGGATATTGTTTGTTTTTTTATTGTTTTCTGCTTACTAAAATAATGAACAGATATATTTAAATGTTGTCTATGACCTTCACTTTAATTATATACATGCCTGTGAAAAATCAGAAAAATAAGTAGCATAACATTTTTTCCCCTATAAGATTGATTCTTAACCATAAACAAACATTAACCAAAACAATTAACTAAAAAAAAGTAAACGACTATGGCGTTCGTTGAAGCACCATGCGTTTCGTCCCGGGCATACCTATCGGACTCATCAGTGTGTCTATTCCGTAGAATAAGGCTTATTGAGAGAAGGGAGTATCCCCGGGAGCATCCCAGGGAGCCGCTCCTCGCTCAAGATCCCTAGCGGAAAAAAATAATATTCTTGAATGATAGGGACTGCCAGTGAACACGCAGTCCCTACAAGCAGTGTTGCCAGCTTATCTGACCGATCAAAATTGAAAATTTTTTGACGGTCTGACATGCTCGCCAACGTCATTTATTTACTATTGTGGCGGAACTCGTACCAACCTTTGGTTTTAAAAGAGAAAGACATCTAAGAATCATGTATTTGTCTTTATCTAAGCTAAGAAACGGTCGTTTATTACCTCGTTTTCTGCTGGTACATATTTATTTCCAAACCGTTTATAGATACTTATTAAAAGTTTTTGTTTTTTTAAGCATGGTTCATTGCTTTTGTGCCCTATTGAGGTAAGGTAATGTACTAGTAAAATGAATACACTTTTAACTGCTTAAGGATATTCATTTACCAAATTGAAAGTAAAACGGTAATTTCATTTATGTAGCCGCTTTCCTTCAGCACTTTATAATGAATCGTAAAATAAGTCTATGTTCCTTAAAGAGACTGAAGTAAATGTACCTTTCAGAAAAAATGGAATCGCACAATGGAATCCATTGCAAATTGTGAAAAATCAAGGCTGCTATCGCTCAAGCAAAGGGAATCGCTGATAGAATTTGTCCACAACAGGTCCCAAATAGCAAGGTTTATTCTCGTGTAGGATCCTTAACAAATGTATATTTAATAAAACACCATCTCCACCAACAATGTACAAATATTTTCGGGACTTCTAAACAGTTTTATTACTTTATGGTCTCCTAGATCAAAGGATATCTTGTCCCAGCGATGTTTTGGAACCCCAAATTATTCCATGGCATCATCGACATCCTCAGTTATCATGTCATTATAATATTATTGAATTTCTCAACTTGCATTTTAAAATTAAATTAAGCACAACTCGTTGAAAAGATCGATACACCCGTTCCTCATATCTAAAACATAAACAAATACAATTTGAGGTTGGAAAACACGGAGAGATGCCCTTTCTACTGGGTCCTATCAGTCGATCATTCCCCCTCCCTGGGGAACGACTCCCTCTCTCAATTTTTTTTCAAGAATACCGTTTCGGCCTACTGTCATAAAACCCCGCCCACTTCTCTCGGCTGTTCTACTCCCTAGTCGTCAAGAATAGGTACACAGCATAGAACAAGGCTTATATAGAGAAACGACTCTTACTCTTGTAGAAAGTGTGTCGCTAAAGTGGCGCGCCCTGGTGGCTGAGAATTAAAGAATTCAAACAAACCTGCATTATGAACCCACTACATTTGCTTATTTTTAATTGTGTCGCAAGGGGCAGCTGATAATAGGGATAAATGACACAACTACACAAAAATACATATAAATATATATTACTTGTTGTTTATTGTTTATATAAATACTTATACAGTAAGGCTAGGCCCATGGTAGGCCTGTATGTATAGTATGTAGTCTGTGGGTAGGCCCTAGCTTAGACGTCCGATTCAATATTTAGTATTAGAACTTGTGTTTGAACCGAAACGGGGCAGATGTTATGCGGTGAGATATAGCTGGCATTTCGGTTGGAGCTGCTACTTGGGAAGTGGCGGATAGAGTTCGCCACACGACTTTCTCTGAGGTTAGGCGTCGCTATTCGAGAATGGCCCGGCGGTTAAAAACCAAGTCACCAGTCAGTTAGAATCACAAAATATCCCCCCCTAGGGAAACTCGAGCAAACGGAGGGGGGATCTGCGCCACAGTTGAGAAAAATGATAGAATACTTACAAAGCGAACAGCTTTACTGGATGAACTCATTCTTTAAAAAAGAACCCCAGAGAAGATGGACATGGAAAGTCCGAACGGTCGCACAAGAAACGAGATCGATTTTATCCCTACAAACAAGAAAACATATTGCAAGAACGTATCCATAATAAATTTGACACAGGCAGCGGCCATAGATTCGTAAGAACCATCTTCCAAATAAACCTAAGAAAAGAAAGGAAGAACATGGTAAAGGAGTCAAAAACAAAATACCTACCTGAGATATTCTCAAACCAAATCAACAACAAATTCAGTTTTAGTGGGTAAACAGCTTAGCTGGAGTCCCACACAACCCAGAGCGACAGACCACCAGCTCTGGGAAGTGCATAAAAGAGCATTTCCCAAACCACACCGAAAAAAAAGCCTACTATCTCACCTATACAAGCTCCTCACGAAGATCAAACCGTCTAACTAAGAAACTAGACTCCTACCAGCCAGTGGAGCATGCCGGATTCCGCAAGGGCTAGAGCACGACCGACCATATACAAACTCTCCGTTACTGATTTGACAAATACAACATCAATATCCTGTTAGCGTTTGTCGACTACAAGAACGCTTTTGACTCAGTGGAACAATGGGCAATTATGCACTCCTTAGATAACGCCAGGGTAGACTCAAGATATACAGGACTCCTCAAATCCATATACGAAATATCAGTAATAGTAGTTAAATTAGATGAAGACCTGAAAACGGAGCAAATAAAAGTAAAAAAAGGAGTAAGACGAGGCGATACCATCTCACCCAAATTATTTACGCTAACGTTAGAATACGTGTTCAAGGGACTAAACTGGGAGGAGAACGGAGTTAGAATTGAAGGCAAATGTCTCAACCACCTACGTTTTGCGGACGACGTAGTTCTAATAAGCGAAGACCCATTGGAACTGAAGACTATGATCAAACAACTAAACCATACCTCTCAAAAAATGGGACTCGAGGTCAACATTACAAAAACAAAAATCTTCAGCACACAAAACATTCAACTTTCAATCGGAGCGGATGAAGTCGAAAATGTAGACGAGTATATATACCCGGGGCACAAACTCAAAATTGATAAAGGAATTCAAAAAGCAGAAATACCCCGAAGAATGGGTCAAAGTTGGGCTGCATACAAAAAACTAGGATTAATACTCAGGAACAGAGATATCCCTATGAACCTGAAAAGGAAAGTGTATGATAGCTGCATACTCCCAGTAAACACTTACGGGCTGGAAACAATGAGCCTCACAAAACACAGCGTACATCGCCTGCAATGCACGCAGCGAGCTATGGAAACACAAATGCTAGGGGTCAGTTTGAGAGATCATATAAAGAACGAAGAGATTAGAAGGAGAACCGGAATAACGAGTAAAATCGAGAGAATATCCAGATTGAAGTGGCAGTGGGCAGGACACGTGGCTAGGATAGACAACAACAGATGGGCATCTAGAGTACTGAAATGAAAAAAAGTAAACGAAAGTTGGGTAGACCAATGAAGAGATGGGCTGGCGATATTAAAGCCGCAGCGGGACGAAGCTAAACACAGAAAGCACAGGATAGAGATATCTGGAAGAAACTTGAAGAGACCTGTCTCCAGTAGTAGAGAAACTACGGTTTATGAAGAAGAAGAATCTTCAGACTCAATGGAGTAAATACTTCTAATGAAGTTTTCCCTAAAGCGACCCGTTTTCATAAAAGACAGGGTTAAAAAGTGGTGACCTTACGTCATGGGCCATGGGTCATGTTATCAGACATTATACTCAAGCTTTCAACCAGGCGAAATAATTGTCAGATGGTTAATTCCGTTTATTGTCGTAGTCGTTATGGTTAAGAAATAATAACTAGAAAAATATAGAAATATTTTTAAAAAAATTAGAAATACGAATTAAAAATCGACAGTTAGTGGTCCCTATTTTTGAGGGTCAAATGCTAGTGAATTTTTTTGACAAAACCATATCTTTTGTTTCCACCCCCATTTTAACCCATGGCTCCTTCTTTCTTTACACATCTGTTATTCCGCAAGAGCCCTAATCCCATAGGGTGGCTGAGTCACAAACACGTAGCGTATCTCATCGTTTCACGGTCGAACATTCAGTTCGAACATTCAGACGTCGCTTGTATCGAAAGTTGACTAATTTCTGTTTTGAAATATAGTTTTATTATTTTCCAGCATTTCTGGGGTATGTACTGTTTCAGTTTTTACAGAATGAAATAATAATACCCGGTGTGCCGGCTGCTAAAAGCGACCAAATGGCCAAAATGAAACCTTTGTTTGTTTGGTTTGGGGCCAGGTAGAAAACCTTTTCACCCCCCGCTTTATCTTCAATTAAATGTAATTCTCATTTTGGGACTTTCTAAACATTGAAACGTTCTTACTACTAATGTTGTGAACTCGCTAGTTCAAGATAATATAATGCGTTTATTGGTTTACATTTAATTATTTGTTTCAGGATTGGCTCCTGGTGTGATCATATATCACGAAACACAATATACTGATGTTTTGAACAATCACCCGAACGTAACACCTGAAGACATTTTGCGACAAAACTTTGCCGATTTGGGGTCAAATTGTGAAGAATTCAGCTTTATCAAATATATTGGTGTAAAAACACGAGATAACCAAGAGACGTCGTGCGACCGTCTAAGCGCAGAAATTCAAAAACGGAATTAGAGAGTTCCAGTGTGCGTTCGGTCAGAAAGGCCAAATACGTATTCATAATGCTTAAAGTGAGTTGAGCTGCAGCATTGGCAATTCTGAATGTTCAATAAGCTGGACTTTTTAGAGTCTGAATGATAAGTTTTTCTCTCCACTCACTGAGTCAAATCACGAGAAGTTTTTGGCTCAATTTTTCACATGCCCGGAAAAGTGTAAATCATGCAGTGCGAGTTGTGTGCTTTCTACTGGTCATAAGGAAGATGATGAGCCTCATAAATGCAATACGCCCTGCAAATTGCAACACCAATATCAAAACTTTGTGTATTTATGTAAGGTAAGGGAGCATATTAGAGATTCTTCACTGATTTATTTTTGCTCATAATGATCTTGGGTTTCCTACAGAAATGTGTTAGAAATGGGGAAAAGTCTACTGTTGAACCTAAATACACCAAAGATAATTCTTGGACATCATACCTAAATTTGATGTGGTCAGGATATGTTATACATTGTCCGAAATGCGGAGTAATCTACAAAAGCCGGTAAGTTTCAAGCGATGCCCAATTTTTGGGTTGCTAAGTTGATTTTGTTTCCAGAGAGCACTGGTATGGAAACAAAAATCCTGAAGACTGTGCTGTGCAGTTGGAAGTCGCCCACATGTGGCCAGGAATAAGTTTAGGCTTATTAGAACACCCGTTCAAAAGATGTTTACAAAACAAACAACCTAACATCAGTTTTGCTGTTAGTTTTTTACTAACACTGAAAACTTATTAGATTAAAAATAAAAGTATTGCATTCTGTTCATTTGCATCCTTTCTGTAAACACTTTTGCTGCTTTCTAAATCATCATAAAGTCCATCAAACCCCGCGTGTAAATATCCATGTGCAAACGTGTTCTTATCAGCCTCTCGTATAATTTATCGCCAATTTGAACAGCGATTCAATGTTGTTTTAAAAGGATAAACCCAACTTGCAGGATCGACCGCTCTTCGGCAGTTTCCATTCGGGACAACGAGTTGTGGATGGAGTTTCTGTGATTACTGACGCTGTGGCAAGCGTGAGTTCCCCGCCAACTAAGATGCTCTTGGATTATATGAATGATAAAATTGCTCCTAGATATTGGAGACCTAACCACGAAATTAAGGTAAAATGGTGTTCTTGTTATTATCTATTTGAGTGAATTAGAAAAAATGTGAGAGTTGCTGCTGAAACGAAAGTGACTCAGGAAATGTTTGTTTTAGGCCTGCTTCAAATGCAATGTATCGTTTGTAAGTGGGCAAAATAGAGTTGTACCATCGAAACATCATTGCCGAAGTTGCGGTGAAGGTTTCTGTGGAAGCTGTTCCTCGAAAAAATGCCCTGTGCCACATAGAGGATGGAAAGAATCCGAACGAGTGTGCGATGCATGTTTTGATGTAAGTATCCCAAGTTTAACCTTGCAAAAACTGAAAGCAATTTAATTTTTCATTTGGAAAATTTGCTCAAAATGCGTCAGTTTTCTTGCTGTAAGATTTTTGGATTACCTTTTTTTATGAAATATAACATGACACCTTTTAGGAACTCGAGGGCAGAGGGCAAAGTTTAATAGCGAACATATCCGAAGAACAATTGAGTGGAGAAGTTACACCAAGATATATTGGTGAAAGACTTGTGCATGCCATATCAGCCATTAAATATGTTTACGATGTACCTAAAAACTGTATAAAGGTGAGTGAGACTGTAAAAATGGTCGTTTTTCGAACGAATACGGCGTTTGTGAGGAGTTGGAAAGACCATGTACATCTTTTTTTTAATCGATAATAAATATTTTTCTGTGCTTTGTTTCAAATGAATACAATGATACATTTTACAGGAATACGTGAGGCCAAGTTACTGGACGCCAGACAGTAAGTGCATCAATTGCGTGTTGTGTAATAATCCCTTTAGAGCCCAGCTCCCTTTACATCATTGTCGAGATTGTGGTAAGGGTGTTTGCGACAATTGCTCAACTTCTAGAAAACCTGTTCCCATGAAGGGTTGGGACTCGCCCGTTAGAGTTTGCGATACTTGTCGGTAAATGGTGAGTAAAGTTTAAAAAAATAACTCACTCAATCGCTTAATGAAGCATATTTTTATGTTTTAAGACCATGACTGTTTCTGATGATCAAAATGCCTATAAGCAGTCCACTAAGATAAGGCGGATTATGTTTTTCTTTATACACACCAACAATCTCAGAATGGATAAATTAATAGCACGCCTGGTGATTTAGGGCTAATTTAATTTTTTATTTTATTTAAAGGATCAAATTAGAAATGAGGAAATCCGACAAAAAACTAGTCATAGATATAAAGAAGCGTATCGCAGAACTGAAATGGCAATGGACACGTGGATAGACAAGACGAAAATCGATGGACAACGAGATTGACACAGTGGAGACCACAAAAGAGGTAATGATATAAACAAACGAAAAAAAATAAAGAAACGAGTAGGAAGCAGGACGAACTTCCAGATGGCACGGGACAGACAGGCGTAGAAATACATGAAAGAGGCCAACCTCCAGGAGTGGGCTGCAAATGGCTCACGAAGAAGAAGAAAAATCATCTTTCCTCTAGAATACCTATAGAATATCGTTTCATTGCAGAAGCGGGATTACAATGTAAATGATAACGTTGTATTTAAATAATGAGCTCATGTTGCTAAGTTTTTAGAAGTTTGGGTTTATCGGCAAATGTAAAACCCTTATCAGTGAAGGATATCAAGAAATAGGCGTCCACAAGGGCTAGTTCTAGTGAAGTTAGCGGAGTACTGGAAGGCCGATCAAGCAAGGTTTACGCTTCTAATTCAACTATTAACACCGTCGAGTACATAATTACCACAAGTCTTAAATTAGTGAGACATTGAGACAGCGGCGACCACAGAAAAGTCATCAGTTAGCCCCAATAGCAGCCCTATCACCTATTTTCCAAACACACGCTTCGTCTTATCAAGGACTAAGGAAAGCTAATAACTGGTATGTCCCAGGTATGTTAGGCATTCCCATGTGGGAATGACAAACTCCAATCCAAGTGGATACTGTGGTGTATGTATGGTGGCTACATTCGGAGCAGAAGAGTACCAGAGGGTTTGTCAAAAAAGTAACAGTATGTTGTTCAGTAGAATATTTTGTAGTATCCGTTCAGTGTCTTAATACTTATAATACACGATTAGTCTGAACCCAGTGTTTTACTAAAGAACACGACAGATACATCTATCTAGCTATAGCTAACCAGGCAGTGCACGCAAATAGCTACCAGAATGAAGCTAATCCTGAGTAACATGGGAATACGGCAGGATTTTATTGAGGGGCTGCTTTCTATGAATTGGCAAATAATGGGCATAATCTAGACAATTTTTATCATCTTACGAAGCACTACAACACGGATGGGCTTGAAGGTCAGAATCCAGATAACTTTAATATTGGCGATTGTTAACTGTTTCCGGCTTGGCATAGTTAGGATAATAATAATATTTAAATAAAATGGAAATATTTTCCCAAAATAACAAAACAAGAAAAGACAGAACTACTTGTGAAATGTTGACGATGGAGGAGGAAAAATATAATGGAAGAGGGATCGTGTGTGCTAATAACAAATGTGTACAAATTATTTACTCTGGCACAGGAAAATGTCTTCAAATCACTGCCATAGGAAGCGGTAGTAATCAACATCGATGGAATCTATCTGAGGTATTTATGATTGTGTTGGACTGGTCGCCTGACTACTCATTTCGACCAGTCCATGGTTTTTATTGCAACATTTTGATTTTTTTAAGTTTTCATTTTTTGCATTTTTAAGGGTATTTTTAAATGTGTAATTTTAAATGTGGACATCACTTTACAGACTTCAATGTGAACGGTTTCATTTTGGTGACTTAACAATCGAAAGCGCTAGGTCATATTTGTATTCTAGGGTTAATTAAACCGCACCCAATCCAAATTTACAATCTCCTGTGATTGTTTTTATGAGTTGCCGATGATATTTTTCTAATGAGTAACACCACTAAAGAACTGACAGACATGATTAAACAACTAACCCAGCATCAAAAAAGATCGGCTTGAACATGAGCCTGCCAAAACAAAAGTAATCATTAACATGGACGCAAATATAAGAATAGGGAATACTCCTTGGAAAAATCAAAGTAAATACATTTACTTCGGACATACCATAATGATAGACAAAGAAAGTAAACCGGCTGAAATAAGACCAAGATCAAAATTGGCTAGCATAGCCTTTGGAATAGTGAGCAACATTTTTTAAAGCCGGGATACCAGTAAGTCTCAAAAGAAAGATTTTTGATTGGACCGATATCGGATGCTTAACCCAGTCTAACTTTGACAAAAACGGAGGAGACCCGGTTGAAGCAACTTCTGGACCATGAGTTACCAAAGTTTGACTAGATTTACGGCACTACCCCTTTGGTAAAACATCTCATCCACTTGTTGAAATCCGAACCAATTAAACAGCGAGACCGACCACAGAATCCCCGAATGCAGGAGATCGTAAACACGGAAGTCAGGACGATGTTGGCCGACGGCATTATAGAACCATCCGCCAGTACTTGAAGTTCACCTGTAGTAATTGTCCGCCAGAAAGATGGGAAATACCGGTTCCGTATAGATTTCCAAAAGGTAATTGCCGTAAGCCACAAAGACGCATACCCACTTCCATTCCATCAATGCCATCCTGGATAAACTGCGACGAGCGCGATATTTTCCCAGTATTGACCTCAAACAAAGATACTGGCAGATCCCGCTCACAGAGGAGAGTAAACCCATCACCGCTTTTACCGTTCCGGGAACGGGCCTTCACCAATTTCGCGTCATTCCACTTGGGTTACACTCCGCTCCAGCTACTTTCTAAAGACTAATGGATTGCATTATTGGACCCGAATTGGACAAATTTTCAATTACTTACATTACCCGAATTGCACCAATCTGAACGGTATTACCCGAGACTAACCAGAGAGGCCACTGAGATCTTTAAACATGACCTAACCTGCCTCTTGATCGGTCCTGCCATCGGTGTGGCTGCCCGCACGGACAGCCCCACCAGTAATACTAAGGTGGAGTGGGGTAAGTGTATAAACGGGCTCTTATTAAACTAATATGACATAAATTGCAATATACATTATCTAGTAATGTACTCAAAGTTGATACCATCCTATCCACGTAGATGTCGCCCAATTAATGGACGAACCCCCATTCATTCGGCGACATCGGATTCAATTCAATTTACATGTCTGGATTCGGATTAAATAATAAATTCTGCCTTTTTTGGATGTCTTGGTGACCAGAAAAGCCAACGGAAAGCTGGCCCACACGGTGTGCAGAAAACCGACACATACCGACCGGTACCTGCACATTGGTTCAAACCATCGTCCCAGTCAGAAAAGAGGAGTCATCAAAACTCTCACCGAAAGAGCCAGAAGAATCTGCGAACCAGCCGAGTTAGAGAGAGAATTAAAACACATGGAAAGGGCCTTTGGTTGGAATTAAAACAGTGAAGATCGCTCGGAGACAACAGAGACGCATGATGAGCGTAAGAGTTGGGCTTGCCTATTGTACATACATGGCGTCACGGACAGGATCGGCAAGGTACTGGAGAAACACCAAGTAAAAACCATTTTTAAACCAACTCGAACCATCCAACAGACTTTGAGATCGGCCAAGGACAAACGGGATCCTTTATCAGCACCAGGAGTCTACAGAGTTTCGTGCAGCTGTGGAAGAGTATACATCGGCACCACAAAACGAAGCATAAACACTAGGATCACGGAGCACAAACGAAGTTGCAAATTGGGACAAACAGAAAAATCAGCAGTAGCGGAGCACGCACTGCTAGACGGCCAACAAATACGATTCGACGAAGTGGACATCCTGCACCAATCTGAAAGATACTACCCGAGACTCACCAGAGAGGCCATCGAAATATTTAAACACTAAAACAATTTTAACAGAAAAGAAGAAATTACGGCACTCAATCCAGATTGGAAGCGCGTTTTGCGCCAAACAGCATGTGCGCCGAAGCGTTGGAACC